ACTTAGATCAGCCCAGAGGTTGTTTCAGGGTTGGATCTGTGAGTTAGCTGTGCCCTGACTTAGATCAGCCCAGAGGTTGTTTCAGGGTTCGATCTGTGAGGTAGCCATGCCCCGAGTTTGATCAGTGCACAGGGTGTTTTAGGGTACGACTAATAGAACCGACAGCTAAAAGATAATATCTTCGAATATTTTCTTATTCTTGTATTTTAGGATAAGAAGTTAATACATAATATCACATCATGTATTTCACTACACGCTATTCCGCTCACTTTGTACTAAATCTCATTGTTAAAGTTTGTTTTGTCTTTGGCAGATCATTAATAAGTTCACTCAAAAGCCCTTTAATCGTGTGACTGAGATCTATCTACATTAGGCTTTGGATAGCATAGAACACTTAACTATCTCGGGTTCCAAATCACTTCCAACTCACGTGTTTGAGTAAGATAGGTTGCATTCATAGTTATATAACATTACTGAGCCCCAATAGCAAGGCAAGAAACACGGTGACTAAAATAAGAGTATGGCCTAGTTTATTTTGCCTTTTTCTTTCTTTCTCTCTCTCTCTCTCTCTCTCTCTCTCTCTCTCTTTTTTTCTCCCTTTTTTTTTTTTTTTTTTTTTCTTTTTCTTTCTTCCTTCCCTTGACGGAAAACCGTTTAACTCGCTTAACACAGTAACAAATATTCGAAATTAATGAGTTACAAACATCAGAATGTTTTCAAAATTTAAAGAAAATAAAACAGGAAATAAGGAACAAAAAGTGACGCAGAATAGCATAATTTCCAAAAATCGATAAACAGAAACCTAACGTTTTTACTTATTTTTCAAAACATTAAGCGAAAAATAAAATAAAATAATTTTGAGAAAAAAACAAAACGGCTCGCTAATAATTCAGATATATGTATATAATTCCTATATTGCTAATATCTATAAGATTACACCATAGATTATTCAGTCATTTTGCAGTTTATCGAAATTCATCATTTATATTCGAAACGGTATATGTTATCCTTCAACGACACAAAGACAAAAACTCCCAACTTTTAAATAAATTCGGCTGATTCACTAAGAATTTTAAGTTATTCCTTTCTCGTGTTAATTCGATTTCTATATTCCCTTTAAAAAATCTCTTTTTCGTTTTGGTTTTTGTCTCGTATCTCACTTTTATCTTTTTCCTCGCCAATTAACCACACGCTGTTTTACATCAATGCTATACATGCTATGTATTGTATAAGTCTACATTTGTTTGATTTATATTACACCTAACTGAAAAAACATAGCCGGGTTCGAGAAGGTCGTATCATCGAAGCTAAGGTCGAAAAGGATTATTGGTACTCCGAAATGTGTATTATATTTGCATATAGACATGTAAAAATGCACAGTAGAGCAAAG